CCCTGTAAATACTGGCACACTAAACTGGGAGCACTGTAAACACTGACACACTACACTGGGAGCACTGTAAACACTGACACACTACACTGTGAGCCCTGTAAACACTGACACACTACACTGGGAGCACTGTAACTACTGACACACTACACTGGGAGCTGTGTAAATACTGACACACTACACTGGGACCACCCCATAAATACTGACACACTACACTGGGAGCCCTGTAAATACTGACACACTACACTGGGACCCCCCCATAAATACTGCCACACTACACTGGGACCCCCCATAAATACTGACACACTGCACTGGGAGCCCTGTAAATACTGGCACACTAAACTGGGAGCACTGTGAACACTGACACACTACACTGGGAGCACTGTAAACACTGACACACTACACTGGAAGCACTGTAACTACTGACACACTACACTCGGAGCGCTGTAAATACTGAGACACTACACTGGGAGCACTGTAAATACTGACATACTACACTGGGAGCCCTGTAAATACTGAGACAGTACACTCGGAGCCCTGTAAATACTGACACACTACAGCGGGAGCCCTGTAAAAGCCTATATCTGACGATCAATGAAGATGGGTAACAGGAATGTCGGTGTAATGATTGTTCCTGTCCTGTTTTTACGCAGATCCCCCTCCTCAACAGGATCACACTGGGACTGTTATCTGTGCTGTCGGTGTAATTGTAGGAGCTGTCGGATTTGTCATCGGTCTGTACCTGGTTATAAAGATACGCAGTCGGTAAGCACTTCCCCTTTACAGTCTCTGAGCTCTTTCCCACAACCTCCACCCCACTCCCCAACTTTTCCACGCACTTTCTGTGCACGTTTACAGACTGGTCACCGCCATTGCCCCTTTTTACAGACAGGGTGCGCCGTCTCCAAGCCTGTCCTGTAAAGAATAACTGCATCGGAGACTGGAAGGAGGCATGAGAAAGGTCAGTGAGGTTAATTTGCCTGTGGGTTGGTTAATTCTAACTGAGGGTGTTACTGTCAGTGAGACAGTCAACGTGGAGCAGTGACCTTCCCCAGTGAAAACACATTGTGATGCGGCAGTAAGGCAGTGGCATCATTCGCAGATATATCCCAGTCACTAATCACAGCAACAACTTAACATCCTCAGGAGGGGGGCAATAATTTCACACACGCTGCAGCAGTTAGACACCAATGGAATTTCTCAATGTCACGCAGAAACTATCAAACAGGCAGCACACCGATCACAAACTGTGTCTAACTCCGTGCTGTCCCTGTTCTGTGAATGTTTGATGCGGGGGTGGGAACAGTGCAGAGGGAATTTTACTCTGTAGCTAACCCCATGCTGTCACTGTGCTGGGAGTGTTTGTTGGGCGAACAGTGTAGAGTAAGCTTTACTCTGAATCTAACCCTATGCATGTTCCTGTCCTGGGAGGGTTTGATGGAGTACAGTGTAGAGGGGGCTTTACACTGTATCTAACCCCGTGCTGTCCCTGTGCTGGGACTGTTTGATGGGGGACAGTGTAGAGGGACCTTTACTCTGAATCTAACACCTTGCTGTCCCTGTCCCTGGGAGTGTTTGATGGGGGACAGTGTAGAGTTAGCTTTACTCTGTACCTAACCCCGTGCTGCCCCTGTCCTGGGAGTGTTTGATGGTGGAACAGAGTAGAGTGAGCTTTACTCTACATCTAACCCCATGCTGTCCCTGTCCTGGGAGTGTTTGATGGGGGTACAGAGTAGAGGGAGCTTTATTCTGAATCTAACCCCGTGCTGTCTCTGTCCTGGGAGTGTTTGATGGGGGTACAGTGTAGAGGAAGCTTTACTCTGTATCTAACCGCATGCTGTCCCTGTCCTGGGACTATCTGATAGGGGGTGAGGTGGGGGGGGTACAGTGTAGAAGGAGCTTTAGTCTGTATCTAACACTGGGTATTGCTCTATTCTAACCCAGCATTGGCTTCTCTTTACCTTGACTACGGTTTTATATTGAAAGTATTCACCAAAATGAGTCCTTTCTCCGTCCGTTTTTACTGTAGATCAGTCCACGTTGGGAGAAGAGAAAGTGACTGTTTTCACCTGCAGGACGTTTCTGCTTTTTTCTGTTTAACAGAATGCAGGATCTGCCATTAATCAAGGGTCATCAATGGTTATACAGTCAGAGTCACGCAACACAAAAACAGGTCCTTTGGCCCAACTCATCTACGCCATCCAGACATCCTAAGTTAAACTAGTCCCATTTGCCAGCATTTGGCCCATATCCCTCTCAATCCTTCCTATTCATATCCCCATCCAGATGCCTTTTAAATGTTGTAATTGTACCAGCCCCCACCACTTCCTCTGGCAGCTCATTCTATACACACACCACCCACTGCGTGAAAAAGTTGCCCCTCCGGTGCCTTTCCCCTTTCCCCTTAAACCCATGCACCTCTAGTTTTGGACTCCCCTACCCTGGAGAAAAGACTTTGACTATTCACCCTTTCCATGCCCCTCATGATTTTACAAATTTCTATAATGTCACCCCATCCAACGCTTCAGGGAAAATAGCCCCCAGCCTATTCAGCCTCTCCCTATCACTCAAACCCTCCAACGTCCTTTTCTGAACCCTTTCAAGTTTCACGCCATCCTTCCTATAACAGAGAGACCAGAAGTGAATGCAATATTCCAAAAGTGGCCTCACCAATAACCGCCACATGACCCTCCCAACTCAATGTACTGACCAATGACATTTGTGGGCTGTTGTTAGATTACAGTATGTTTCTTCATAAAGGAATGGGAGAAATCTATTGTACGTCTCATATTAATGATTAATAAACTATATTTGAACCTTGCTTCTGGCTTCTTGAGCATTATAAAATATCTGTATATCCAGTTGGCACTATAATAAGCTCTCGCTCTCTGCTGCCACATTCTGTCCCTGTTCTTTTCACACAACAGGCTAAATGTGATCACACATCAGTTTATCCATTTGCAATGGTGTTGGGTGAGGGAGGAGCATTAGCCAGGATTCTGAGGACTGTTATCTCCAATACTACCCAGACAGAGAGAGAAAGAGAGAGTGAGAGAGAGAGAGAGAGTGAGAGTGACAGAGAGAGCCAGAGAACAAAAACAAAGTTGCTGGAAAAGCTCAGCAGGTCTGGCAGTGTCTGTCAAGAAAAAAAGAGTTAACGTTTCAGGTCCGGTGACCCTTCTTCAGAACATACCCGAAACGTTAACTCTGATTTTTTTCTTCACTGATGCCTCCAGACCTGCTGAGCTTTTCCAGCAACTTCTGTTTTTGTTCCTGATTTACAGCACCTGCAGTTCTTTTGGTTTTTATAAGAGAGAGCCAGAGAGTGAGAGAGAGTGAGAATGACAGCAAGAGGGAGAGTGAGAGAGGGTGACAGAGAGAGAGAGACAGTGAAAGCCAGAGAGAAAGAGTGAGACAGAGAGAGAGTGACAGTGAGAGAGTGAGAGAAGGTAGGAATGAGGGCAAGAGGAAGAGTGAAAGAAATAGAGAGAGAGAGTGAGACAGAGAGAAAGTGAGAGAGACTGTGAGAATGAGAATGAGGTGAAGTTGTTTGTACACCTCTGTACCCCCTTTGAAAGGCCGATTTGCAGTGAGAGTGGGTCACAGGGAAATGGTGAGTGGGAGTACTGTTAGGACACACACAGACACTCACACACACACACACACATACAGACACACACACACATACACAGACACACACATACACGCACACGCACACGCACACACACGCATGCACACACA